TGACCACTGCCCCTGCCCCTAACATAAGGAACAACTTTCGAACACTATGGAACGCTTGCCGAAGTGTTCGGATGTGGTAAAGTTCGGCGATCATATGGGGTTCACCATGATTTCCTTTGCAACAAGGGTCATCCGTGACCGAAGGAAGGAGGGGTTGGGGATGGGCATCAAAATATACATATGGATGTGCGTTCGGGTTTAGGCACGAAGTCGATCATATATTCTGTCGGATATCACGAGAACTGGTGAACCGAGCCAAGCAAGGGGCTGTCAGGGTCAGGGTTCGAATTATATTGTGATGTATGCATGCAGTTATACATACACCCTTGGAGAGGGAAGGGTTTGATAGTACATATTCCATATACGTACAGACGGAGAAGGCAGTGTTGTGGCTTCGTGCTGGCCGTTTAACGGCAAAGATAGCCAGAAAGGTTTGCTAGGAACAAGCACCCTGAATCTGACTTGGACCTGGGTGTGTCTTTGAGCTAGAACTTTTGAACCAAATATTGAACTAGACTGACCCTGACATGAACCTGGGGAACCCTGAGGGGGTAGAGATAAAGAGTGCCAAGATCCGAACGGAGTTAGCGATGGTCAAACTCGGGTTTTCTGAGGATAGGGAGTCAGTGACGGCTTCAGCCGATCAACAGACATTATATTATTCATTTTTGATTGAAATCGACGGCAAGAGGCACGGTCCATGAGTCGTGCACTTCAACCCCATGCTATGGAGTCTCTGTTCCAGCAAAGCTTCTGTGGAGAGCAAGATGGAGAAAGTGGTGCTCATACTAAGAAAACTGCTTGATTGAGCTAGAGCAGCAGTATATCGGGGCCCCTAGCTAGTTTCAGAGCAAGATGGCAAAAACGGGGGGGGGGGGGGGTCTCACCTTGGCTGGCGATCAATGAGCCTCAGGTTTCATGCTAAGTAAGTGTACCTAAGTAAGTGGGAGCGTTCCATGTCCAGAGTTGATGATCTCTTTTTATGGAGATGTGGATGCGGATAGCCGTTAACCAGAGTCCAGGATAGGAGATTCTCCGAAGATATCCTGATGGCCATCTTGGCGAGGGGCGCCAGGAAGCAGCAGACAGAGAGACAGCGGTGATAAGGAGCTTGACTGAGAAGATGGTATATGTCATGGTATACCATCAACGCATAATTGCCCTTTGCCACGTCCGCTGCTTGTCCATGCATACATATGATTATGGATAATTTTGGCCGCCCCCATCTCGCTTGATTTTCCTCCCCCGTTCACCGAGTTTCCCTTGATCGTGGTGGGAACTCTGATAACTAGCGGACAGAGTGATAACGTCGCAGTTGCATATTCATAAACTAGATATGTAAGAAAAACTATTCAATCGTGGCTGAACAACCCCTTATCCCTGACACAGAATGCAAGGTCTAAAAGAGTGCTAGAAAAACCGTAAGTAAGCGGCAAGACCTCTAACTTCATCGAGAAGGTCAGCGCTAATCAGATAACAATCTTCCAGGCTGTGAGCGTGAGAGTGTCAAGATATTCAGGTCATGCTTCAGGGCTTAGGGGGGATGGATTTTTGCAGAACAGGGTGCGACTGGACCAAGAGAATGCCTCGGAGGACCCACGGACAGGCAAAGAAACTCAGGCAGGTATAAACCTAGTCAAACCTGGAGTGAGTTTGCGAGGGAGTCTAAGTAAGTTAAGTAAGATTATCATCAAGAGAGAGCAGAGATTATCCCATCTGGCTGAACTCCAGAGTCGCATCGACATTCGTCTGGGGTTCACGAGGGAAGAGCATGAACATGGGATCGGAAACTTCGGTCGGCATGCCATATACGGGACAAGGAGTGCCTATACGGGAGTATGGGGGAGGGGAAAGGGAACGGGGTTTGGAATACGGCACGAGCGGGTTCGCTGGGAGATTGTACCGTTTTCCATAGATGAACCGCGGGAATATGGAAGACGTCTCCACGGCAAGGGGGAAGAGGCAAGAGGGACTCCCGCCATCTGGTACATAGGCGGCGTATCCGTAGCACTGAAACTTATCACGTCCCGGATGAAGGCATTTAACTACTCCGTAAGAGTATCCGTATGTAGCGAATATATCACCTCGTGGTAACTATCGAGGACGAGGAGAATAGTGAGAGTCGGAGGTTAAGTAAAGTGTCAAGATATGAGGATCAACTGGAAGATCACTAGGAAGAGCTAATCTCCGCACGCTCCAAGGGCCGGCGCATCAGCGATCGTCGTTCATGGCTGGGAGGGGAGAAATAGAGAGACAAGGGGAGAGGTCTTCTGGAAAAGTTCGACTGTGTTCACGTTGGCCCTGCAGGCTCGTGTTTCGCCTGTTTCGATAATATGGACGAGGGGGGCCCAGGATAATGGAATATAGGACATGGATCATGGATTATTGCGGATAGCCTGGTTGTCATGATAGGCGTTGGCATGCAAAACAAGTGGTCAGCTAGTTAGCGTAGTGAGGCCACGAGAAAGAGTTGAAAAAAAGGGAGACCGAGAGCATGTTCATCAAGGTTAGCTCTGCAGACAGGTGGACGATCATCCGAGACTAAGCATTGCCACAGAGCCATCAAGGTCAAGCAATGTCTAGCAAGCCCAGCATAGCCCAACAGGTTCGTATTATATTATTATTATTAGTTTCGTTGTTATAGACGGGTGGCCCAGGTCGAGGTTCGAGATGGCTCTTCAGGAGGTTGTCCGTAGCGTCGTTTGAAGGAAGCCTGATATCCACCAGAAGGATTACGAAGATTAGTTCGTGTCAATATATCGAGCTCCCTGCCAGGGCCAAAATAATGAAACGAACCGTCTCTCCGTCGTCTTCGTCTTCGTCTCCATCCATTTCATACCTAGTCTAGGACGGTGGAGATTGAAACGAGGAATGGTTGAAACTTCTTGCTCCATCTCCAAGACAGTCGAGCCCGTCGTGGAGGCTCCATGCCCACCATGCCCGCCAGCTCTCCATCTCGATTCCGTTCCTGTCTCCCCCTTCCACGCGGGGTGCAGGAAGGGAGGATTCGCTGCCCAGGGAAAATTGTCTTGTCTTCACGCCTTGAATGTTGAAGCCGAAGTTGTAATTGCTGGGTCTGTTATCCATGCAACGCTCGATGGAATCATTACCAGGCCAAATAGAAATACCAAGCGAGCACGCAGGCTAAGCATCTGCCCAGCCAGGCAGCTTGTCCGTCTCTCGGTCCGTCCTCGCTCAGCTGCCTCGCTCGCTGCTAGCATTATGCGTACCCATATGTGAGCGAGAAGGGAGGCCGAAGAATGCGGTCCGCAAGGGATGCCGAGTCACTTGCAAAAATAGCCCTGGTTGCTAAGTATATGTATGAAAAAACCACGCTGGCCGTAGCAGGTTCTCTGCAGGCCAAGCTCTGGGCGCATCAGGCACGATTGACATGGTGTTACTTTTTGCTTATCGTTTTTTGCAGCCGTCCAGATACGAGGTGGACGTGGGTGTTGGTGGTTGAAGTTCGCCTGTTGGTTGCCCTGTGGACGTTGGTCGATGCACCAGCAACGAGCAGCAGAAACGAAGCAGATAATATTAGACGAAAAGGCAGCAAGAGAACGAGACAGAAGGGTTACATCTGCAACGTCGTTCTGTCGCCTGTTCTATTAATATACGGACAGGGCCGGATCGGCTTCGTCTTCGTCGTTTCTTTTTGCATGCTTGGGGCCTCGAGGACGAACTGCGATACGAGTCGTTCGCCTTCGCCAGGTTGCGTCGCAGTCAACAGCGAGGACTCATAGGCAGATAGACGAACTGACTGGCTCTTTGACGGTGCGAGTCATCACCAGTCAAGCAGAGGCTCGAGGGTTTAAGCCTGTGTGGGCTTCGCCTCGTCCGTATACAAGGCATGCAGCGCCAGTCTGCCCTCACTCTTCTCCCGTAGTCTGCGTCGATCGAGCAGCCTGTCAAGAGTCAGAGCTTCTGCTTCTGCTTCTTCTCTAGATGCTTGCTTTTTTTTTCTTCTCTGCTTGCTTCCCGCTCGTTCGTTGGGCTGGCGGCGCCGCTGGCGGTGCTCGCGGCGGTGCTGCAAAACCCCCTATTCGCCCTCTGCAGCCCCCGATCAGCAAACAGGAATTATAAAAAGATCCCATGTGTGTGAGACACAGCCAATAATACCACATCGTAGGAGTCTGGAAAGAAACGAAGCAGGTCGGCGAAATTGTGACTCGGACTGATTCTAGTTATACGGAACGCGCTCCATACGATGGTTAGTTAACTAGCGACCTGAGTGAGCAGACGTCAGTTTGTACACATCAGCCAGATACCGCTTATAATAGAGCAATTATTACTTCTGGAAATGAGCCAGTTTGACATCTGGAACATCTCATATCATATTTCATTTCACTTCGCCGTCTGGTTGCCTGCTGCCTGATGTGTGGGATAATTGATTGCACGGTGGAGGAATAAAGGATGGAATGTTATATGTAGGAGGCGGCAGGGATGCCACAGGGGACATCCAAGTACAGGGAACATGGGTATCAATCCTGCTCAGCTCAACCAGCAGGCAAGGAATTCGAGCGAGCCTGTGTAGGAGTACTTTCATGGATATGGCGCTGATCTGTACGACGAGGAATGCTTGATCGATCATCCGCAGACGTTGCTGGTGTCACCGCGCTCGCCAGCATCAGCCGCAAGCAGAAACAAGCGATTCGATGAGCTCAAACGAGCTTGATTATTATTACTAGGAAGACAGAAAGGAAGTATTTTTGAAATGCTTTTCCATTGGAGGATTAAGGAACATTCTAAGTATATATAAGTAATAGATAATATGTATAAAATCGCCAATTCCAGAGAGGCGAAGGAGAGCGAGCAGACACCGAAAGGGAAAAAAAAAAAAATGAAATAAAATCATAGAAATCTTAAACGCCGGGAACTCAGTGTATCGTAGAAAGGAAATAAGGCGAATTGGGGGAATATGGACATGAAGAGAAGAATATGCAAGAAATAAAATGCGTTAAAAGGCAAAAAAGGGACGGACGAGAGAAAACCAGTTAGTTTTAGACGGCGATTTTGAGGGCCTCCTCTTCTTGCTTCTTTCGTTCCTGTTCCATGAGGAACTGGGCGTACTTGGATCGAGGGTTGTGGATGCCGCACTCGGTCTTGGCCTGGCCCTTCCATCGGCCGGAACGCTCGTCCTCACCCTGAGCAACGGGCTGGGTGGAGTGCCAGTCACCGACGGACTTGTAGCCTCGGTCGAGAAGGGCGTTGTATCGAAGGTTGCGGCGGCTGACGTACTCCTTAACCTGGTCGAAGTTCCAGTTGGCGAGAGGGTTGATCTTGATGAGACCGGCCTCGTCGACCTCGATGATGTCCATGTTGCCGCGCTTAGCGCCCTGGCTGCGGCGGCGGCCAGTAAGCATAGCAGTGACACCAAGCTCGCGGTAAGCACGCTGGGCGGGCTCGACCTTGGCCAGCCAGTCGTAGAGCTCGTCGTTAGTCTCCCACAGCTTCTCGCCGTGCTTAGCGGCAAACTCGGCAGCGGTGTTGCAGCCCTGAGGCTTGTAGACGTGGAGGGTGAGGTGGGGGTAGTCCTTTTGGATTCCGTCACGGAGATCAATGGTCTCCTGGAAGTGGTGCAGGGTGTCGAAGAAGATGAGATCTACCTGCTGGTGGCGGGGGATATCAAGCTTGGAGAGCATATCCAGGATAACAAGTCCGGTCAAACCGAAGGAGGTTGACTGGAAGAGGCCGGGCAGAGAGGTAACACACCACTTGAGGACCTCTACTCATTGTTAGTACAGAAGATACTCTTTTTAGTAATATAAAATATTGGAAGTATAACGTACCCTGTGGCTCGAGGAACTGAAGACGCTGGTTGAGGAATTGAAGATGTTGCTTGGTGAAGATGAGCTCTGGGATGGGCTCTTCGTTGGCAGCAGCAGAGCCGGAGCCGCTGGCGTATCCGGACTCGAGTTCCTTCTCCTTAGCGTCTTCTACGGGAGCAGGAGCAGCTGGCTTCTCGAAGATCTCGTCAGCGGTAACGACGGGAGCTGAGACCGGCTCAGCAGCAACATCGTTAATCTCCTGGACAGTGGCTGGGGCAGCCTCGACAATGGGGGCGGTCTCGACGACGGTGACCTCCTTGACAGCCTCGACTGGGCCGTCAACGACAGCAGCAGGAGCGTCAACAGCTGGGGCAGCAACTGGTTCCTGGACAGGAGCAGCGAAGCCCTCGACAACCTTGGTGACGACGATCTCGTCGACTGGCTCGTTGGAGTGAACTGAGGCAGGCATGTTGGTGGTGGTGGTTGTTGTTGTGGTGGTGAATTTGTTATAAGTGTGGTGTAATAGGAGGATTGGTATGAAAGCAAAGAAGATCAGCCAGACTAGCTGTTGCTGAAGGGATATAATTGCAAAGGTTGTTTTGAGGAGAGGAGAGTCTTGGTCTGTCGTTAATTGCTTGTTGATGATGGAGAAAAGAGAGAGAAAAAGTAGGATCCAGATGGAGAGGAGACCCGTCCTATATAGACCACCGACGGGAAGGGTTTTTGGTTTTTGATACGAACACATCAGAGTGCTCCAAAGTGACGAAACGAGCGAAACCGACGAACGAGGACGAAACCTTGTCACAGCCTAGTCCCAGACCCTTGTCTTGCTGGCACTTTCTCCTTCTCCTTCTCGTTCTTTTTTGCGGGACGAGATGAAGGACCATCGGCTCGCCGTGGACCTCGTCTTCATCCTACCCTCTTTTTTTTTTTTTGTCATCTCGACATTTTTCAGAGCTTCTCCTTGGGTTTCCGGGCCAGGGGCTGATGGGATCATGCTTGCTGCTTATCACGCAATCCACAAAAAAGACTTCCACGCTAGACCAGGGCATCATTTTTATGTTTTTGCTTTTTCATTGCTTTTTCTCGTTTCTTTTTGCAGGCCTGAGTCAGCGAGACGGTGGACGGTGACAGGCAGAGAGAGAGAGGCAGTGGCAGCAGCGCCAGGTGCTATTCATAGAAAAGTGGTTCGTGGTTTGTGAAGAGCTTTCTGAGCTTTGAGGACGAACTGGTTCGAGTGTCCACAGCTGAAAGGTACATCATCAGCCACGAAGGATCCAGCAGGCAGACAGCAGGAGGAGCAGAGACAGGCACTCACCGTCTTGCCTGGAGTCGACGCACCGCAAGAGGGAGTGCCAGAGGGGAGGTGGCGGCCTCGTGTTGGGCTACTGACGGTCCTGGAACAGCATCCATGTCTGGCATCGTCTTCTTCATCTCTTGGTGCGTTTCTGTTTCTGCTCTGTTTCTTCTTCTTCTCTGCTGTTTCTGCTGCTTCAACTTCCATGTCGTTGAATTTTTCCTTTTTTGCAAAAAAAAAAGTGTTATTCTTTTTTTGCAAAGTTAAACTTTCTTTTTTTTCTGCCACTTCTCACCGGCGGTGGCCGCGTGGGCCGAGGCTGAAAGTTAGACAGGTCACATGGCCAGGATAAAGCTGCGCGTTTGTCAGAAAATGGTACTTACCTAAGCCGCCCCGCCTTATTTAAGCGCTTATCTAAGCCGACCCCTGCCTGCACGAAAGTTTTTTTTTTTGGTCGTCCCTTTTTTTGCTTCTTGCGATGCTTCGAGCGGTTTTGCGACAGACCTGACACTGCAGATACGGATATCCCAGGCGAAAAGGAAAGAGGGAGGAGAACAGGCGAACTGCTCTTAGGGCCCTGTTGCAGGTTTTGCGGCTAGGTCGGGGGCTCTCTTCTCAGCTCTGGGAGACGCAGGTCGGCCTGCAACCTCGATCGCTGTCTGCTGCCCGTTTCGTCCTTTGCTCCGAACACCCCCCATACATACTCTCTGACTCTGATACATATCGACAGAGAGGTTATACTTAGATCGGCCAGGAGAACGAGGCTCCTACTGTAAGAGCCAGGAGACACACAGAACGAGAGAGGACTTGAAGTCAGGATGTCGGAGCGAGCTCCTCGTGGCACCCGCCCCAGTCTCCGCCGCAGTGCCGTCTCGCACTCGTTCATCCATGATCACCAGCAGTACAAGCCTGCGGCGGCCTCCCCGCCTTCCTACCAGCCAGAGCTTGGCGCCTCCATCTCGGGTACCCTAGAGGACCCCAAGGTCAAGGAGAGCGGCATCGTTCACTCGCTCTTCGGTGATGCCCTGGCTGCGCTGCCAGCAGACACCCCCAAGCTAGTCGCAACCATCTTCTATGTCGGCGACCAGAGCAAGAATGGCAGCAGGAGCAATAATAGCAACAGCAACAGCAACAGCAACAAGAACTCTTCGGCTGACCTGCCTACAGCGGAAGATCCCCTTGAACCAGCTGCTCCATCCTTGCCTCTAGATGCGCTGTACGGCTGTCATGTCTCCCAGCTGTGCCTGACGAGCTTCATACAGATGATCGAAAGTCTCTCGCATCCGTACAGGCGCATGTCCAGCTCGCACAAATGTCTTGACAGGCAGGATAACCCTCGCGTTGTTGAGGTCACCATCACCCCGCCGCCCAGTGGTGAATACCTCTCCTTTGACGAGCTGCGTAAACATGAGAGCATCTGGAGGTTTGAGCGGACCTGGAACGTCGAGGTTGTGCTGCAGATGGAGAATGTCTGGCGGCGTTACAAGCGCCTCGCCGTATTTGATATGGACAGTACCCTCATCCAACAGGAGGTCATCGACGAGATTGCCAGAGTCACTGGAGTAGAAAAGGAGGTCTCCGTACGTCTTGACACCTTGCGTTCCCTGTTACGACACCACGGTATGAAGTAATAGCGGGCTAACGGGCACTAGGAGATAACCGAGCGTGCGATGAACGGCGAGCTAGACTTTGAGGCCTCTCTTAAAGCTAGGGTAGCTCTTCTCAAAGGAACATCTGCAGATGTATTTGACAAGCTCAAGTCCATCATTACCATCTCTCCAGGTGCCCGAGAGCTCTGCACCGCGCTCAGGAAACTTGGATACAAGACTGCAGTTCTCAGCGGTGGATTTCAGCCACTAGCTGACTTTCTCGCCGATCAACTGGGCCTGGACTACGCAGTTGCAAACCACGTACATCTCACCTTGTTTGTTATGCTCTGTGCCTTTGCTATCCGGGTTAGTGCCTGCATTTTACTAATTAATATTTCGTACTTTAGCTCGTAATCGACGAAGCCACCCAGACACTCACTGGCACCCTCTCACCGGATCATCCCATAGTAGACGCTAAGCAAAAACGCTCGCTGCTCCGAGCTCTTGCACTTAAAAATGGCATAGATATGCCTCAGACTCTCGCGGTAGGTGACGGTGCTAACGATCTTCTGATGCTAAAGGAGGCGGGGTTGGGAGTTGCATGGTGCGCAAAAAGCATGGTGCAGTTGGAAGCACCAACGAAGCTGAATGGAGAGTCTCTCACTGATATCTTGTACCTTCTCGGGTTGAGCGAGCAGGAGGCCCGGTCGTTGATAGTGAGTCCGTCTGTCGACGAGTCGTCGATGAAGGAGTTGACCACAACGGAGCGGTCATCGTAGAAAAACTTTCTCTGCTTGATATCCAAAACAACAATGTACATGATTAAAGCGCTACTATACAACTCTCATATAAACTCATAGCAGAGCATTCTTCTCCTCTGTGTCGTCCTTTGCTTTCTCTGCTGAATTGCCAACTCTCTCTTTGGCTCTCTTCTTCAGCACATTTTCGATAAACGCCTCTCCAGCCTTGTAACTGCTTCTTACCAACGGGCCGCTGGCACAGTATAAGAAGCCCATCTCCAAGGCTTTCTCCTTCCACATATCAAACACATCAGGCCTCACGTACTCGTGTACAGCCATATGTCTCTTTGTAGGCCTCATATACTGTCCAAAGGTGACAACGTCAACCTGTGACGCACGCAACTGTCTCAATGCATCCAGAACTTGCTCCTCAGTCTCCCCTAGTCCCAGCATCATACTCGTCTTCGTAATAAGATCCGGGTTCGCAGCCTTAGCCGCACGAAGGACAGAAAGAGACTTTTGGAATCCTGCTCGTCTATCCCGAACAAATGGCGTCAGAGCCTCAACAGTCTCAACGTTATGCGCAAACACATCCAAGCCAGACTTGGCCATCAACGACACCATGTCCAAATTTCCGTCAAAATCACCAGTAAGGCATTCAACAAGAATACTAGGTGCCTTGCCCTTGATTCGTCGTACTGTCTCTGCGAAATGTCTTGCTCCAGAGTCTGCTAGATCATCTCTGTCCACGGCTGTAAGAACGACATAGCCGAGTCCCCATCTCGATAGTGCCTCGGCCGTGTTCTCTGGTTCATGCGGATCAAGTGGTGGAGGAGTGCGGGAAGTCTTCACGCTGCAAAATCGGCACCCGCGTGTACATGTGTCACCCATCAACATAATAGTGGCCGTTGCCGCCGCTTTGGAGCCTCCTCCCCAACACTCGGAGATATTCGGGCATCTAGCTTCCTCGCAGACTGTATGCAGGTTCAGTCCTCGAAGATCGTTCTTAATCTTCTTATATGACGATGAATCTGGGATGGATGTTTTCAACCATGACGGGAGACGGGTAATTTCTTTCTTTTTGCCGGGAGGGCCAACAAGGGCTGTTTTGAGAGCGTATGCTTCTTCGGGTGAGAGAGGAGGTTCGGCTGCACCGCCTACAAAGTCGGAGAATGATGGACCTTTGTTCAGCTTATCTTTGAATGTTGTTGGGGTTCTTCTGCTTGTCGGCTTTGACTCTCCGATGGATGACTCCGGGGTAGTCGTTGCGTATGTGCGGGTGCTTGTGATAGATCTGAGGACTTGAGAACCAGCCACGCGCACTCGCGCCGCCGTACAAACTGTAGTCGATACCATGCTAACTGATGGTGTTCAATTCTCGCTGTTTGCTGTGGCAGGCATCCGGTTAATCCTCTTCGGAAGAAAAAAAAAGTCGAGGCCGGGGAAGTTGAAATGGCGCCGATTTGATTGGCGGATTATATATTTTCCACTAGACTTCCGGGGCTGTCAGGGCCATGCACTACAGATGGCTCGGAAAGTAGTCAATGGCTGTATATAAGGCCCTTTCTATTGATATATTGGGATTGCCAAATGTACTTGTCTCGTTTGCTTCTTCACTTTGTCATTAGAATAAAAATATGAAGGTTGAAAAAAGCTTTTGAGGAACTGATTGATAAGGTTTGATGTTGACCTTATCAGCGGATCTAAATTGATCCGACAAACTCTAAATTTAATAGTGGACCTTCATATCTGAGCCAAAGAAAAAAAAACCGTTTTTTAGAGCTTGAAGATGGACAACATCTTTCTTCTCAACCCCGATATAGCGTGATATTCTTCTCGTGATGCTGTCCGAGTCGTTTATCGCGTCCTTTCTGCCGTCTAATTCCACGCACACGACATCCTCCAGCCTGAAAGATGTCGGCATCTGCTTGCACGAGTTCAGACCAAACCCAACCATTCAGCTCGGCTTGAAGAAAAGCACCACAGAGCCCAATTGCTTAGCCGTAAATGAGGGTCACATATTCGCGGCGCAATCAGGGAAGGCTGTTTTACACGTGTATAGCAGAGAAAGAAGCAACCATGAAGCTACGGTGCCGTTTCCGGAGAAGATACGGAGTATTGCCCTTGCGGGGGAGGGTATACTGGTTCTAGGGACTGAGGGGGGTAAGCTGATTCTGTGGGAGGTATGCAGTCATCAATTGAACCCCAGTTTGCTAGAAATTACTAATTTCATGGACTAGATCTGCACTGGAAGACAAGTAATGACTCCTGCAACCCACCTACAACCTATCACATCCCTTGTCGTCGATCCAACAAATAACTTCATTCTCTCTGGTTCGGAGGACTCCAGCGTGCATGTCTGGTCTCTTCCAGATCTCATCACCTTCTCCAAACAGTCATCAGCCGATAAAAGCCTGTCAGCAATATATTCTTGTTCTCCAATAAGAACAATCTCCAACCACACAACCGCAATCACTAGCATAGCAGTGGGACACAGCATAAACCGATCAAATATTGCCATATCTACTTCTCAGGATGGAACGGCACTTGTTTGGGAATACCGAACTGGGAAAATCCTACACACCTATCTACTTCCCTCGCGGCCTCTGTGTATCACAGTCGACCCTGCGGATCGCGCGTTCTATGTTGGCTACGAGGATGGTAGTGTGCAGTTGGTCGATTTTTTCAAAACTCCATCCGTACAACATATTCTCCACGACACAGACCACCAGACCACACCTACACAACTATCAGCTAGCGATAAATGGCTCCCTCCATCCTCTGAGTTGGGTGCCACCCTTTGCTTGTCCCTGTCGTACGATGGAACAAGCATTTTGACGGGTCACAGGAGCGGCGCCGTCGCATCCTGGGATGTCGGCCGAGCGAGATATGCAGCGTCAATCGCAAGCCTAAACTCCCCTGTCACTAATCTACACATGCTTATGCCCGAAGGCTTAGCCCAGAAAGTAAGCAGAGTCGCCATCCATCAAATAGTTAAACCACGATTAGACCACACCATGGGGGGTGGGCAGGCATCAGATGCAGTGCCCGCGACATACCACGTCAATGTGCATTTGAATGGACCACAGTCCACCGATCCTAGTATGCCTTCATCTGTACTTGATGAGTTTTCAGCTGCCTTGTCCCACCCAATCTTTCCCGGGTCATTGATATCCGAGAGTCTGATCGATCTCAATTCGCCATCCGAAAATACCCCTACCAATAACATCGCCGCCCCAGTCACTCCTACAGAAGCTTCTATATGGCCAGTCAAAAAGAAAGATCGAAAGGCACTCGAAACAGAAATTACATCCCTAAAAAGACAGATTTCTGTTCACAAGGCTACCCACCAGGCAGATCTGGATGAGATTATCGCGCTGCGCAAAGATGTCCGCTATTTATCAGATATGAGTATCGAGTTGCTTGAAGAGCAGCGGATAGCACTGGATAAGGAAGCTAAAGAGCGATCTCTAAAAAAAGTCAGTGACCTGGCAGGACGAAAATTATGGTTTAGTTCAGAAAAGGATGGAACGAATGGTGATCATTACAGAATAAAGCGAGTTTATGGGAACTCAGCATATGATGATGAAGACGACGATGAGGACTTGGATGATGAGGACCTAGATGATGAGGATGAAGAGATGGATGGCTAAATTACGGCTACGGAGAAGGAATTTGAAGTTAATCTTTTTGCAAATGATACCTGGATATATCCCTGGTGAATTTGGAATGAACTTGAAACCAATTGGCAGGAAAATACTATATCCCCTGTTCACTTTGGCACCATGGTCTTCAATATAACAGGGCATGGTATATTCGATTCTCCCCAGTCCCCAGTAGGGACCATATTGCCCCCAGATCAAGGCCTCCAGAGTGCATTCATTCCAGTTCCATTTTAAAGAGACCTGCACTAAAAAGCTTATCCCCAAGGCATTCAGACCCCCCGATATTCATTCGAATCCTTTGAGAACCAACGATTCACCCCGGCGATCTCAGCTGCGCATCCACCATCTCACTTCACGAATGCCAACCACATACACCTTCATCCCCTAGCCTTGAATAGAAGAATGTGAATCAAAACCCCACGTCATTGTTGTAATCCAGGCGTGGCTCAAGAGGCTTCTAAGCCAGAAGTGAAAATCGCCACACAGAGTGACCAGGTGTATTGGAAAACCCACCACTATCCACAACCAATATGAATGATCTTAATCTCTCGCTTCATGAATTTCATCACAGTCTAGTATCACTGTTTATCAGTCACTTGTAGCTGTAAAAGGGGTAGGAAGGGGTAGGGAGTCAATATTGCACGTGATGGCCTACTTTGTATACAAGAAGCCTGCGTCTTCTCACCAACAACACCAGAAGTCGATGCCATGGATAACTCAGGACAGCAGCAGCAGCAGCAAGATATGGGATTCCTGTTGATAACACAAGGCAGATGGCCATAATAGGGATCTTGGATGGCTTTCTGACCACTCTAGGGGGCTTTGGGGGTGGCCTAGGCCATCTTCTCCTCTTTGGCAGCAGGTTCCTGAAGATGTATCTCCTAAATCAAAAAAGAAAGGGGCCGTTATTCTCTTGTTGGACCTCTGGATACCCAAAAGGACAATACTTACAGCCATACCATATCCATCTCACTTACTCTGATGGGCCCTCTCATCTTTATTGCCTGGTGTTCTGGGTCTCACTGTCTGGCTGATGAAGATATACCATTTACTCAAGAAGTTGACAAGAATATCTTGCTCTTAACTGTGAAAAACAACATCAGACTGACGACTAAGCGATGAGAAGATTCACTTAATACTAACAGGAGGAGGTATATAACCCCCTAGGAATCGAGGAGTGTCATCTTCCTTCGCATATTTTACCAGTTATCCAGGCATCGAGTTTCCTGTTATTTACGCCAGATCGAACTATATACCGATCATCAGATTCATTTCATACAGAATTAAGGCACACCTATGATATACTAACGTTCACATACCGGATATCTATAGAAGCATACTACCAAAGTGCTTCAGGCCCAATACCAAGGTATACCATATTATTGGAATATTCCTAAGTCTCACCCATATCAAGCGGGAAATAGAGAATACTTACTTGAAAGAGGATCACATAATTTACACTGCCACGGGCGGAACCTGCCATACCTCAAGATATAAATCGATCTGCCCCCGAAGTGGGCAGAATAACCAGTCCCACCAACGAAGTTACCATGCAGAAACCCATAGTGCCCCTGGATCCCGGATATTCTAGTACAAGAAGTACACGCCTGCACTACATAATGAGGATGTTTCTTATCAAGCTACTCCTGAGAATAGCTAGCTTACTGCTAGATATCGTTTCTATACTCTTAATAGAGGAAGAGGCACATAGGCGCCAACATAGAGCACGCGCCGAGCCGCCGGATGCTCCTAGTATCGATACAACCATGGAAAACCTCCAAGAAAACGTTGGAGTCATCGAGGCGGAAACACCTGAAAATGAAATGTGGATAATGGAGTATCCTACATACCAATCTCTATACTCCTCCTCCAATACTTTGTCCGATGACTCCTCCTTAGAAGAGTCAGAAGAAGAGGGGATTCCAACGTTGGAAGCCTTGTGGGCTAATTGGAATCCAGAGCCGGATCAAATAGACTACCCTGATCGACCAACTACTCCAGGGATCTTGGAAACCACCTTGGCTAACGATGCGGACACTATCTGGCAGGTATCAGAGACTGACGAGGAATCAAATCAACCTGAGCCACATCGGTCAGATACCCCAGACAGCATAGAGTACATCTTCAACCCAACTGGGAGGTTAGAGATGAGCGACATTGAGTGAGAATACGCCTAGAGATACCCACAGGAGCAAGGAATACATGATTATCTTTTGCCCAGCATGGCTTCGTTGTCTTCATTTTCCATTGGTAACAGGAGAACGTTTATTATCTACTCTTAATATTTCCCCCTTATAGCTTTATGCCCAAGTTCCTTTAATTATGTTGTTATTTAGCAGAATACCTTGGTTTTTGGACCTACTCCGTTATATTTCCTAAATGCTAGCGCTATGTATTTCCAAATTCCCCCATTTGTTGAAGGGTATATATGGACGGATAGATTGAGCGTTAGGAAATCTGAGGACTAAGTTTTTTTTCAATGAAAAATCCGCTTAAGCAGCTCTCTGGTGCCCGGCCCAGCCGAGACCATGCATCATAACTTGCCCTAAAAAGTCATAAACGAAATAAAGAAAGAGGTTAAGAGTCCTGTTTTGCAATCCTAGTAGCCACTAGCACTCGTGGCATCGGCTTCCCCGTTGGAATCACCTAGAGCCTCCTTGACGATCTTTATTCCGGAACTAGCTCCTATTCTGGTTGCACCGGCTTGGATCATTTTGATGCAATCGTCGGCAGTTCTGATTCCGCCGCTGGCCTTGATCTCCACGGCGCCGTTCGAGCACGATTCTACAACTGCACGCATCAAGGCGACGTTCTCCACTGTTGCTCCCGCCCCGTTGAAACCGGTGCTGGTTTTGACGAAATTCACGCCAGCAGCGCATGAGAGTACACATCCAGCAATGATATCATCCCTGCTAAGCTGTGAAGTTTCCAGGATAACCTTGAGTTTTACCACAGGTCGTCTCTCCTTGGTGGAGGTCCTAAGCATGATGACAGACTGGAAGGCGTCGCTGTAGCGGCCGCTCCTGAGAAAAGGGTAGTTTATCACCATGTCAAGCTCGGTAGCGCCCTTTTCCAGCGCAGTCCTCGCCTCTGCAACCATTTCGGGAATGGGATGGGTGCCTTCGTGGAATCCAATGACACAAGCGACTGGAATACCCGTTCCCTTAAGGTTTTCCACCGCGCGTGTAACCCACTCCAGTCTAACGCAAACGGCAGCGAAACCATATTCCTTGGCTTCGGCGCACAATGCATCAATCTGGTCCTGGGTGGCAGATTGATCAAGGAGGGTATGGTCTATTGCTTTGGCAATATCGGAGGGCTCAGGTTTAGGGTACTGTGAGACGTTAAGGGGCCCGGAAACGCTAGACCTTGCACGTTGTATAAGGACCCTCCATTTTGCGTCTGTGCGGGATATAAGCTCCATGAGCTCAGTTGCTTCCTTGGACGGTTCGGCCATCTCGAATGATCAGCTATCGGCTTTCTCAGTGGCCGTGATCACAAATGCTGGATGGGTTGATGTGCGATGGGACGGGATGAGTGGAGGTAAACAAGTGTCGAAGTAGAAGTAGAAGTAGAAGAAAGAGGAGAGGAAGAAACTCCCCCACCTTTATTTAAGTTCCCCACGACAGCGGCTAGTGAGGCACGTGACATGTCATACGAACGATAAGCTTTTGACCTCGAACGCTGCTTATATCGGGCGTTTTTTTGCCTATTTGACGGCTTTTATCATAGCTGTCGTCGTTATACTGCTATCATTCTTGCTGTAACTATTGCTGCTGCCATCGCTCGTCATTTTCATGTAATTTTCTCCTAGATATTCGGTGGCATACTGGAGATGTTAGCCACTTTGGCAAGGAATCCATACACGTTTCAGGGGTAAATATCCACATCGGCAGGTAGTTACTCACAGATATCTAACGGAAAAAAATTAATATACGTATATATTTATATATTTAATACGTTCATTTCACCCATTCATGTTCCTTCGTACATATTACCCGCCAACGAGTAGAGACCCATCACTGACAACTCTTGCATTCTGGACCACGGACATCGTCCACCCTTCCAATTCTCTTTGAAGGGCCACCACCACCTCCGCCTCGCCTATCGTAACCCCCTCCTCCTCCTCCTCCCCCACCACCTCTGCCTATGCCTCTATTCCTATTTCTAGGGTCACGGTTTGAAGGATTCTTGATATTAAACTGGGAAGCCTCGGCGGCAGCATATGGAGTAAACTAGAGCCTTTGTTAGATGTTGTCATATCCACTCTTCTCCAACCAAGTCCTAAATTGTGAGGATGAAGGTTCCTTCTCTAGTCCACCAGCTGCTGGCAATAGCAGTTACTTACCGAAAAAAGGCTGACAAAATAAAGACCAAAAAACATATATAACCATTGGAACAAGCGGCGCATCTTGGCCGAGAGCGGCGGACTTGATCGTAGCAGCAGTTAGATGGTCTGGATCTCCCGTTTGCATGACCAGAGTGGGGTATCAAGAGCTGCTTACTTCTCTAGTACGTGGCCATTGGACACGTATGGTCTATTGAATAAAGACATCTCGACGCGCGGTGTTGTGGCGCCTTTTTGTGCTCCTTCAGACTTGTTCTTGTGATAACTAGAGGATGAAGAAGATGATGGATGGGTAGATGACTAGTACAGGCTATGGTGGTGAGGCTGCCAGCCTTTCTCGTGTCTGTCGATCGCTGGAGAGAAAGCTGGATATGTTGCAAGTTTCGGTTGCGCCTCAAAAAGTCCAATAAACTCTACCTCATCTTTAAGGTTTCTAGTCCCGCCAATCGCCAGGCAACCACATTAGTCATAACTTATATAATCAATATTAATAATCAATCACGTGAAACTTTTTTTTTATCTTTCAACGTTCGTAGAAGAAAAACACGCCACCCGAAAATATGAAGGAAGATCTATTCATTATTTTTGACGAAACAACACTACCAATATTCAGAAATGTGCATGCGCCAGTGGTGATATGATACTCGCTACGTAAATCGCAGCTCCATAGCTTGAAAGACTTATATACCCAATTATTCGCCGTCAATTCCTCCCAATGCAGCAATGGCGTTTAAATTCAAATCCTTGTTCAGACCATCCAGCGTCTTGAATCCATCCTCAACGATCCATTTCCGGCCTGGTTGATGAAGAACTTCACAACTTGTTCCTACTACAAGCAGGCCTGGTGGCCGTGAGCCCTCTTCCTGGACAGCCAAACACACATGCTCCAATGTTGACCTTATTACCCGTTGGTCAGCGCAGGATGCCCTTTCTATTACTGCGCACGGCGTGTCTTTTGGCCAGAGACTTCTAGATGGAGTTACATCGTCTTTACTATCTCCGGTGTAAGTCGTCATAGATTCAATTAGTGATGCCAACCGATGCAATGCCATGAGGAAAACAACCGTTTGGCTAGGTATATAATTCGGCGGGGAGGGTGCCACTCCATGGCGACCAGTCCCAGTGCATATCAGGACTTGGTCAGCAACTCCTCTATGGGTTGGTGGTATATCCGCAAACAATGGTGCACTCAGAGCACTTGTGATGCCAGGAAGAACAATAGGCTCGTATCCCTTCGCTCGGAAATAGGAGAATTCCTCAGCCCCCCGTCCATAGAGGTATGGATCTCCCTGTTTCAGCCGGAGGACAATTCTACCGGCTGATAATCCCTCAGATGCCAGTTCTAGCAATTCTTCCTGTGCTTTGTCTGCATTACCCGGGAATTTTCGTGCAATGTGCACTTCCGTTCGTCGTGGAATAAGATCGAGAACTGCAGCTGGCACTAGTTTGTCGGAGAGTATAAGGTCTGCTGTTTTAATTGCGTGATATGTTGCCCGTGTCAACAAGTCGGGGTGACCTGGTCCAGAGCCTGCTAGGATGATTTTTCCCTTTTTAGCCTCCGGACCAATACTCTTTCCGTTGGTGAGAGGGTTCTTCCCCACTCCATAAGCTTCCAACATCTTCTCTACACCAGGCAGCGTTACGCTGGCAAGCTGGCGAAGGGGCCAGTATTCGCAGATTTGTGAGAGCCAGCGTATTCTCCTTGTCTTCGATGTAGCAGCTGCATCCACTACTAATGTGTTGAATGTGTGCTTCTGAGCAGTCGAGTCGTCAGAATCATCCTCAAAGCTATCCTTATCCGCCTCTTCCTCGATCGCATCCTCTTCCCAAATTCGTTTCCTTAATAGGCCCAGATTTTCAACTGCTGTCCCAAGTCCAGGCGGAAGGAATGAGGCAATTTCTCGCCTTATCCGAGAAGCCAAAGAGCCTCCTTTTCCTGAAGTTGTAACCCCAATATGCAAAGGCCCGTCAGAATAGGTTAACAATAGTGTGAAAGAGCAAAGTTCTGGTGCATCTGACACATTTACAGGGATTCGAAGCCGCCGACATGTTTTTGATATGTGATGGGCTACAACCTCTTGTTAGCGCTCTTTTCGTTCCCATCGTATACAGATACCTACTTAAGGGGTACGTCTTGTCCAAGGTTATAAATACGGCGTCAACAACACCCTCGACTTCCTCCCGGCCAAATGTGAGGAGATCGCTGTCCTGGAATCCTCTCTGGATCCATTGGACCTGTCCGGCCTCAATTCTCTCAGAAAGAGTCGATGGAAGCTTGTTCTCAGGAGGGGAAATTAAAATCGGAGTTGCTCCTGAGTCGATAGACTTGGTAATGCGTGCAGCTGCCAACGGATTAGATCCAATGATCAGATGGATATGAGATCCCGAGTCTATTGCAGCCAGAAGAGGGATTCGCCTCCCAGATCCGGCGGGTGAACCAGTCATTGCCACCGTCTAAACCCGACGCTCCTCTTCTTGGGCCACGGTAAATGTTAATTCAATGGTGATAGGAAGATCGTCTTGAAATGTATAGGTCCAGAATTTGGCCACGGTAGCTGTTGATGCCAGCAATATCGAAAGTTGCAACCACCACGGACGAGATCTGATAAAAAGATTGACAAGAGGGTTAAGAGTCGCCAATGGATTCATAAAGCAGGATATTTGAAGATATTAAAATTTGTTTTTGGTTCCAGGAGAAATTGTTTTCTCCTCGCTCTGAACCCAAATGATGGGTATCAAGATAGTGATCTATATGGCGGCTGAACCCTCTCCACAGGCAATGCAGGGGTGGTATCGGTGTTTGGGAATGAGGTATAGGTGGGATATAGCCACCCACACAGCCTTTGGACTGTAGGTGATGAATGTTTAAGATACTTAGATGGCCTAGTCTTTTATATATACTCACCTTCTCGTACTTTTTTTCATTCAGCTCGATTGCGTGATTCTTTTGGGAAGTGGGCAATAATAAGCGCGCGCCTAACGCTTATTATTAGTAATACAATCACTTGCTTATGTGATTAATGCCAAGATATCGAGACCTGTTTGGTTTGACGCTTGGAAAGCGAAGCTGGAGAGCAACAAGCGACAGCTTCAGACGACCAAGCAAGCGGACAAGGAGCTCTTCCAACAACCACGCTCAGTCCTCTTGATACTCAGCTCTGGAGGGAGACAATCTGCACTATCCGTTACATTTTTCTCACACCTGTCACTCATTATCTAATAATCCAGTCGTTGGAGTAGCCAGGCCCGCAAGATACTCATCATGTCGGATGGCACATTGTTCAAGCCTGAGAAGGACTTCACGAAGGATGTCGACCAGCAGATCCCCGAGGCCGAAGCGCTTGCTAAGGTATGTCAAATTCTTGCCGTGCTTACTAGCTGTAGTTCTAACAGATGATGTTGATAGACAAACGTACAAGGCGCTATCGACAAGCTCCTCGTGTTAGAGAAACAAGCACGACAGGTACGGAATATACAATCCACATCTTGTGAATATAGGAGTTAATAAAGTGTTTTTTTTAAGGCATCCGATCTTCCTTCGACCTCGAGACTGTTGGTGGGCATTGTTACAATCTGCAAAAATGCCCGCGAGTGGGAGCTCCTGAACGAACAAGTCATTGCTCTCTCGAAGAAGCATGGCCAGCTCAAACAGGCAATAACAAAGATGGTCCAGGTGGTGATGGAGTTCTTGGATAAGACACCAAATTTGGAGACTAAATTGGCCTTGATCGAAACGTTAAGGACAGTAACGGAGGGGAAGGTACGTGATTCTTCGGACAGCCATGTGTTGACTAATACTAACCCGAGACTTGTTAGATCTTTGTTGAAGTTGAGAGAGCGCGGGTAACTCGGGCTTTATCCGATATTAAGAAGAGTCAGGGCGATATCGATGCTGCCGCCGACATTCTTTGCGAACTACAGGTTGAGACCTTTGGATCTATGGCCCGAAGAGAGAAGACGGAATTCATCCTGGAACAGGTTGCTCTTTGCATAAAAAGGAAGGACTGGACACAGGCGAATATCCTCAGTCGCAAGATTACCACGAAATTCTTCGCCCGAAAACCCAAACGGACTCCGGAACAAATTGAAAAGGACAATAAGGAGGCTGAAGAGAAAGAAAAGAAACGTAGTCCCGATGATCCTCCAGTGGAGAAGCCAGAGGATGTTACAGATCTGAAGCTTCTTTACTATGAACAGCAAATTATCCTTGCAAATCATGAGAGCAAGTACCTTGATGTGTGCAAACATTACCGACAGGTTCTCGACACCGAGTCTGTTGAAGAAAACCCTGAACAGCTGCGTGCAGTAAGTTTAGGATCATCTGTATTATTTATGGCACGCAAAGGAATTAATCAAAGTTACAGGTTTTGCAACGGGTCATCTACTATGTTATCCTTTCACCTTTCGACAATGAGCAGTCAGATCTTTTGCACCGTATTCAAGCTGATACGCGGAACTCCCTTGTTCCCGTGGAGGCTCGGCTGGTCAAACTTTTCACAATCAACGAGTTGATGCGCTGGCCCATGGTTGCAGAACAATTCGGGCCCCATCTCTGCAGCACTGATGTATTCAGCGCCAAAACTAACCACACAGCTGACGACCAGGCCTACCAACGCTGGCAAGATCTCCGGAAGCGTGTCATTGAACACAATGTCCGTGTCATTGCCAAATACTATACTCGCATCGAGATGGGCCGACTAACTCAGCTTCTCGACCTAGACGAGGAGGAGACGGAGAAATACATCAGTGATCTCGTTACATCCAAGACAATCTACGCTAAAATTGATCGTCCGGCCCGACTTGTCAACTTTGCCAAACCACGGGATGCGGATGACGTTCTGAACGAATGGAGTAGTAACATGAAGAGCTTGCTTGGATTGCTGGAGAGAATTGACCACTTGATCACTAAGGAGGAGATGATGGCCAGGATTCTTCCGTCCAAGGCTGGAAGGTCGAAGGCACGTTGATAGATATGTTTGTTAGCAAATGTGCATTGATATGTACAACAAATAAGATGCCCATAGACAAGCAACTATTGCCCAACTGCCCTTGCTTCTCATGATAGTATTCCGTTCTAACCAGTTTCTTGCATATGTGTAATATACCGCAGAACCACCAATGGTCTGGTCTAGTCCCATCCTGTCTAAATATTCACATTGTCTATAATCTCTAAGATCAAGGTTCTCTCTTGTCATCGTTCAACGGGGCCGCATGTCTGTCTAAAACGGCATGTCCATATTTCCAACATCGTCGTCGGCCGAATTTTTGTTACCATTGCCGTCTAATCCCTCTATGTGTAGCCTGATAAACTGCACCGCTCCATCCAAATATGGTCTCTGGCTAGGCAAAAAATGGCCACCAGGATGCCACAAGACCCTACCATCAGACTCAGGGTTTCCAGCACAAGACTCAATCAATTTCCTGCTCCTTGCTTCTTCAACTATCATATCCAACGTCCCCAGAACATGCAACACGGGTGTCTGAATCTTGGGATGCTCATAAAATGCCCTGTACCGGGTGCCAGGCGCAATAAAACCTCCGTAACATATCGCAAATTTCATCGGCGGGTGTGAGATGCCGGTAAAAGAAGATGGAAATGGAATACCAGTCACCATCTTCTTATCCTCTGGCCCTTGCGGTGGCTTTTGAGGATCTCGCTGGTTTCCGCCGGGAGACTTATTGACGAGTTCTTGCTGATTGTTTGCCGGGTCAGACATGTAGCTGAATGCTTTACTGCGGTCTGGCTCGAGTAAACTGGCCACCATTGCTGCTAGACAAGCACCCTGAGAAAAGCCAATGACACCATCAAACGGCCCTTCATCTGCAAGCACATTGGCGACAGTTTCCAGGCCTTTCTCCATCCCCATGTATTCAGGCGGGTCAACGAGATCTGAACGACGCCACCATGCAAATGCTTCAGGTGCTTCATCGGCTACAGAACCGCCATTAGAAACTGGTGTATAATTGGGTATATCAGAGGGACTTAGCCCTATAGGACCGGATGGATATGATAGAGTAACAGAGTATGCAGGGAGGTTCTTCTGTATGTGCTTCTCTAGAGCGCGGGATTTGGCACGGAACAGCGAGCCAGACTGGGTGTATCCATGGAGCATGAGGATTTTGAGTGGTTTTCCTGTTGACTTCGCCATGTTTGAATCTAATCAACGCAGCTGTGCCAGCTAAGGTGGTATTATTTCCTTAGGGGGTTGCAAGATGGGTGTTTCTAATGTCCCCAGCATCTTCCATACCATCCATCCATGGTAGTTGGCGCAGGGGCCGCTTTGCGGGATTCGGAGCGTCTTTTATCCGATATCTGCCCGGATCTGACCTCAGCTACCCGGGCGCTATATAATATCGACGTCGACGGTGCTATTTTGGATTCGATTATTGCAGAGCTACTTGCGTCAAACTGAGCTTCTGATGGTAAAAATAAAATAAAATAGAATGACTACTACTCGAACCTAGGGGGCCCGGAGACAAAAACGAAGTGAGAACCTACTATGTAGGTTCTCAGTAACTTCTGCGTTATTTGTAGCCTCTTCGTTGACAAGTCAAGGGAATCAACTGCTTTCAACCCGCTAGTCTGCAGCTAAATTTGGCGGAGTCCCAAATTGGATAGAATCAACATCCACGGGCTGATTAAATGTATCCCGGATCATTTATCTTCCAGGGTCTTGGGCTACAAAAATTAGCAAAAAGAAGTCATCGAGGTTCGAACCTGGGGCAAAAAGCGAAGTTGAGACGAGGTCTCGAGTTCTTCAACTTATGAGTAAAGGTTATTTGGCCTCTTCGCTGGAAAAACACGCCGTCAACTCGACCTTGAACCCCCCAAAAGTGACCAAAAACAAGGTGTTGCGGCTCATTTCCACGTGACTAACTTAAAATAAACTCATGGTCATGATGACATAATCATTGGCTTTAGTGGGCTTGTTTTTGGTTCTTGCATGTGAAGAGAAGAAGCGCAGCGATGGGATGGAGATTGAGGTTGAAAAGGACAGGTGGACAGGACAGGATCGAGCTCTCTGACGTCTATACCGCAGCATAACCCCAAGCTGCATCCCAAGGAAAAGTGCCTTGTACAGTTGGCTGTTACCCTCGAGGGCACATAATGACCAACGACCCGACGCGATTCACGACACACCTTTTTTGCGACTGAGAGAGTGGACTTTGTGGATAAATTAGTTAGCTAGGCAGAGGAGCGCTGGCTGAAATATATCGACTGTGGAAGGTATGTTGTTTTCCCAAAACATGGAGGGAGCATAATCGGTGACCACATCTTCTAACCAGCTCGTGTAGTCAGTCATGGAGAAGTACTCCCAGTTCCGGGATCGAGGTGCGTTCGCTTGCAACTACGGTGTTTATGAATCCAGTGCTCAAGAGGCTCTGACAATATACAGCATCGGGGATTGCTCCGTTCCTACCTATCGTGGGACAGACACCGACGATATCAGTTTTATTTCACACCTTTCTGTTTGTTGTGCGATTCCCACTGTTAATATCCGCCTGTCTCTTCTATTTCTGCATACTGCAGTGGCTTCCCATAGGAAGTCTAGGGACGAAGATATCTCTTTGGACAATACTGGGCATACCGGGCATATGGTGGGTAGACCTACAGATTGAAGGGGTTAAGAAAGGGTGAGTTGGATCTATACGTCCACCAGCGGCAATCTACTTTGAACTGCTTCGTTGACACCACTACACAGATCACTGGCGAAGCATATAGAAACCCGTCTTCCCGGACCAGGAGCAGTAATTGCTTCGTCGTTCACTAGCCCCATTGATGTTGTCTACCTGGCGGCTATATTCAATCCAGTGTTTACCACCTCTTACCCCGGTACACGGAAAGTGAAGCAGGTTTCGCTTCTGCAAGCCATTATTCATGCTTTCGACTCGCCAGAGCCAACGCCACCCCATTCGTCCAAAGCGGATCTAACCGACCTATCGACGCTTATTAAACGAAATCCAGACCGCTGTATCGTCGTCTTTCCTGAATGCACTACCACCAACGGTAAGGGAATTCTTGAGCTCAGCCCTTCTCTGTGTTCAGCGTCACCATCTACCAAGATATTCCCTATCAATCTTCGCTATGAGCCAGCCGACGTCACGACACCGATCCCGGGATCCTATGCGCGCTTTATTTGGAACCTGCTGAGCAAACCAAGTCATTTTATCCGGGTGCGTATTGCCGAAAGTGTAAGCCAAGAAAGCGCTGCAAACATGCCGGCCCAGAACAAGCAAGACGGGTCCGATGCAACCTTGAATCCTGAACAGCAGAAAATGATGTTCTTGGTCGGAGATTCGCTTGCCCGGCTGGGACGGGTGAAGAGGGTTGGGCTGGGGGTTAGACAAAAGCAGGAGTTCGTCAGAATGTGGGATAAAACTAGAAAGTGAATAAATCGGATAGGTTATTAATATGAACGACTACATATTTCAACACATAATTTTCAGTGACTTCGAAATATAGTTGAGGCCTACTGGCATTGATTTAAGAGGTAAACGGGCTAGTGCTAAAATGTTGCAAACTTAGAGAAGAGTTCTCTTCCAACAAGGCACGGCGTTGAAATACTCTGTCTTGCTCATAGAAAATGACCCAGAAGCTCATCAAGCCGTATAGTCACTAGGGAACCCATCTATTTCTTTCCGCTGGGGGGAGTGTAGACGGAGCCACCCTGGCCATTGTTGTAGTAAGTGCTTCCGTTTGGGTTGCTGTAGTAGTACGATCCATCACTACCAAGGCAACACTGTCAGTCTCGACCTTTTGTAAGCTCTAAATGGGGAAAGTATTGACTTACGAGTTGGAGTAATGGTAAGAATTGGAGTTGACAGCGGAAGAGCCATAGTCACGGGCACAATAATGGTTTCCCTAGATATGGTTAACAGTACGCTCTCGAATGATGAAAAATACACAATTGACCAGGCTGTCAGCTCGTCATTGCCCATGAAGGGCCTTCTGGTTAACATATCAACAAAAGCATGCTGTGGGACCAAAAGAATACGGCATGGCAGGAGCCCGGTATATCTACGGGTATCTCTGACTACATCGAAGCCACAACTGGTTTCACTAGTGGTCAAAGAGGAGTAGCCATTGGCATATCATCTTCTAGCAAACGGAACCTTGTTGAGGTCGGAAGAAAATTGGAAGTGCAGACATCACGGATAGTACAAACCTGGCTGTTGGTGCCGGAAGACTTGTAGGTGTAGCCACCGTTGCCGCTAGAAGAGTTCTCAGGCATTTTGTCTGTGCTCAGAGTATAGAGGGATAATTCCGTTGAGTGATATACGCCGTGACTCGGATACAGAGTTGAACAGTGGCCGTAAATGCTGGCAGGCTAAGGGACGTGTTGGGGAGGAGTTTTTCTTATATAGGCCGATCTAGCCACTCCGTTATTGGGCCCTCCCTTCATCCTTTGTCTGGCGACGGCACAGAGTTACTTTCCCTTCTTCCACTTGAGGTCCCATAATTATTCTGAAACAAGCCATTCATCTTCCAATCCTGGAGAGGTATCACAGAACTCCTTAGTTGTATACTAAGGTTTTGAGCTGCGAATAAGACCATAAGATCTGCCATGGGAGGGAAGTATATTCAGGGAATATCCCAAACCAGCCTGGACTATATGTGCCGGGGGAACGCCAAATGGTCTTAGCCAAGGGCAATCAAATTTACCCAGCAATTATTGCTGCTCTGCATCTTGGGTCTGCGGCTTCTGGGAGTAACTCGGCATAACGGCATTGTGCAAGGTGACTTGCAATAAAGAAGAATGCATTCCGTAAGTAGTTAGCTACTTTGCAAGGGCTATCTCGTTCAAATCAATATGTTATTCTTATGCCTTGACGGCCTATTCTATATCTCCAACCCACGTCTTTTGTTGACGTCGTCGTCGCTTTTTCTCGTTTCGGAAGTTGACCTCGGCACGGGAAGCCAGGTACCACGTGACCAAAACAAACACCGGAATTTACTTTATCCGAT